TAGGCGGGAACCTTTAGACTGTCCCTTGGTTGATACCCTCGGGAGTTGGTTGGATTAGGTCTTATCGCAACGGGTAACAAAAACGACTGGGGGAATTGTGGGCCCTCGAAAGAGTGCGGAGGAAAAAATTTGTTACGATATCTGCCATATCTAACTCGAGTGCAGCCATTGTTTTAGAGGAACCAGTTTTGAGGTAATTTTTCACCTCACAGATCAATATCATTAAAAAACTTTGAAAGAAGAAATGTGAATGTTTATTTTGAAAAAGTAAAATGAGAGCTGTTATAAGATATTTTGTAAAATATTTTTTCCCTTTTGGTACCGTGTCATTTTAACCATCGGTTTTAGTTCATGGTAACTTCTTAGTTTTTGATTAATATTTGAACAGTTTAGCTGCAATTACATTAACATTCATAAACAAAAAATCGTTGATTTTGCCATTATTGTTATCATTACATGGTTAGGTTTGGTGATCTAGTAATTTGCTGAATTCTGTAGTGATTTACTGAACGCACTCAAATTTAACAGGCTGTACTTTGCTATTTGTACCGAAAGTTTGGCTGTGAAAGTTTGGCACAGAAATTTTATCTCTTTCATAACTCAACAAACCATGTGCTCAACCTTATCAAAAGACTTGAAAAACTCAATTTATCATGTAAAAATAAGTATTTACGTTTTATGCAGTAGTTGTTTTTTATTCAGTGTACATAATTTTGTATATAAAAGATTTATATTTATAAACCAGGTGAATATGCAGTCACTCCACCCGCTCAAAAACCATCGACATATAGTTTTTTTTACAAATTGGCAATCTCTAATCACCTATAGCTTTAAGAAAACTGATCGCATGCGCAATATAATTTTTACTTTGAGCTCAAGGCAACAAAATTTTTCGAATTAAAAAAAAATCCATCAAAAATGGCTATATAAACGTCGAAATTTGTCTGGAGAAAAAAAAACCTCAAGTACTAACATTCCGTCACTTTTTTACAAAATTGCAACAATCAGGCAAATCATTTGCTTTTATCATTCAGCCAGTTATTAAATACATCTCTCTACTGTTTAGATTGGCATGTGATCAGTTTTTAAGTCACAAAATTAGGACTTAAATATGACCATAATTCCTATAAAAACTCAATTATAATCTCGTTTTGCGCCATAAATTTGTCGCTCAATATACATTTTTTATACACCAACACACACACACACACACACACACACATATATATATAATATACATTTATATATACAGGGGCGGATCTAGGGTTTTCTCGAGGGCGGGAGGGCGGATTTTAAAAAAATTTTCGAAAATATTTACGACCTTTTCTTTTTTTAGGTCGAACAAATTGATTTTCTTAGCTCTACTAAAGCACTAAAAAGACGATGCTTCGACCAAATTTTCTGCGCTGCAGGCAAATTTAAAAAAAAACATAAAAAAAGTCATTTTTGGGCTTTTTTTGGAAAACTTTGACAAAAAATTGCCTTTTTTGGCTCCCTCTCAAAGTTAGTATATATTGGCGTTGAAGGTGGCTTTAGAAAAATTTATATATATATACACACACACACACATATATATATATATATATATATATATATATATATATATATATATATATATATATATATATATAGATAGATAGATAGATAGATAAATGGATAGATAGGGTGAAGCAACAATTCCCATTCCAGAATTAGATAATACATATATTTTGCAAAACTTTTGTGTTCAGATGAATCAAAAAAAGGACGAGACATCGAGGTGTAAAAATTTTGCTATTAACAGCAAAACTATCATCAACTCTTAGTTGCGTTTGTTGAGTGATAAAATTATGGCAAAAACGAGATTGTAACTGAGTATAATTGATTTCAAAAGATTTTTGGTAGGAACTATGATCATTTTGAGTTTCTGATTAAATTTGAAGACAAAGTAAACTAATCTAAACAAAAACGAACTGCTCGTGTATCAGAGTGAAAACCTCAACATTTTTACTGCATTTTCAGGCCATTTAAAACATTTTTGATAGAAAAACAGGAATTAAGTGAAAAAAGTAATTTTTCTTTATTTTTTTTCACACATCATTCTAAACAGCAGAGAGATGTATTTAATGTCTGACTAATTAATAAAACCAAATAATTGCATCATTATTCCGACTTTGGAAGAAAGTGATCGAATGTTTGTGTTTGGTGCGATTTTCGCCGTAAAATTGGCGCCATAAATTATTTCCCTAGGCAGGAACCTTCAAACAGTCTGTTGGTTGAATCCCTTAGGAGTTGGTTAGATTGGGTCTTATCAACGGCTCTCAGATGCCTGTGGGTGAAACGTTGGTCCTCGAAAGAGTGCGGAGGTAATTGTAACAAGATCTGCAATATCCTACTTGAGAGCAGTCATCCCTTAATCTTTTATTTTAAGGGCCCAGCTTCGAGCTAACTTTTTCACTTCACAGAGATGGTTAAAACCTTGAAAGAAGAAACTTGAACGCATATATATGGTGAGGTATGCGTTCAGCAAACTGGTGTATCCGTAAATTAACAGATCAGTAAATTGATTTGCGTAACTGTTATTTAGATTTTTTGAAACTTGTTAAAAGTTGATCTTTCATGAGGTGCATGGAACAGAAAGATTTACGATTTTTTGTACAATTCTAAGGTTTATTTTAAGTGACTTTGTAATTGAATACCCAATTTTTGTTAAATTAAAAATCATTAATCAACTGGTCCAATTATTGGGTCTTATGCACTAAACGACCCAAAGTTAGTATTTATACATCTTGAACTGAAATTTATGTGGCTGAATCTGATTGGCTAATTCAACAACGTGATACGGTTCAACCAGATAAAGTTGTTAGCCGGACTGATCAAGACCTAAGAAACTTTGTTCTGTTGAAGCCATTTTCCAAAACTTTTCTTGTTTGCATGAATTTTCACAATTGATTTGAACGTATTTTTATTATTTGACTAATAAATATATATGTGTGTGTGTGTGTGTATAAAAAAATGTATATTGAGCGACAAATTTATGGTGCAAAACGAGATTATAATTGAGTTTTTATAGGAATTATGGTCTTTTTTAAGTTCTAATTTTTTTTTTAAATAATTTTTATAGGAAATATGGTCATTTTTAAATCCTAATTTTGTGACTTAAAAACTGATCACATGCCAATCTAAACAGCAGAGAGATGTATTTAATAACTGGCTGAATGATAAAACCAAATGATTTGCCTCATTGTTGCAATTTTGGAAAAAAGTGACGGAATGTTTGTTCTTGGGGTTATTTTTTTCTCCAGACAAGTTTCGAAGTTTATATAGCCATTTTTGATGGATTTTTTTTTCTTTCCAAAAATTTTGTTGCCTTGAGCTAAAAGTAAAAAATATATTGCGCATGTGATCAGTTTTCTTAAAGCTATAGGTGATTAGAGATTGCCAATTTGAAAAAAAAAAGTATATGTCGATGGTTTTTGAGCGGGTGGAGTGAGTGGGGCGGTAATTGTTACAAGATCACCATATCTTACTTGAGATCAGTTAGCCCCTAATCTATTGTTTTAAGGGCTCCGAGCTAATTTGTTTACTTTACAGATCATTAAATATCTGAAAAAATCTTGAACGCATAGAGCTGGTGAGGGTTCAGATTACTAAGATAATCTGATCTTTTCTTGTTTAGTTTTCAGGGTTTAAAGATTGCTAATTTGGTACAAATAACGCCAGACATATTTCGTGCTAGTAACGTGTAGAGGAGGATTTAATCCGTCTTAGAAATTGTACCAAATTGAATTGAGGCTTGATATGTGGTTGCTTATTTAATACTTTGTCATAAGCGAAATAAATCATTTAGAATTTTGCATAGCGCTTAGGGGGTTGATATAAAAAAAATTGAAAAATTCCGATTTTTTTATTTAAAAGTTTCATCATCAATTTTTTGTTTGAGCACTAGTCTATAGACCTTAAAAAGCAGTCGGAGCATTCAAAGCATTGCATTGATACGAGCAGTCTCTTGTTTTGACAATTTACGAAGAAAGTGACTGAATTTTTCTGCTCCGGGTATTTTTTTCTCCAGACAAGAATCGACATTACAATTTCGGCTTAGAAACTGTTTGTATTTGAAAGGAGGCATGATATTTATTGTAACTAATACATTAAAATGTGCTTAAAAACGTTGTACTTTAAATAGCTTGTGGGGCATGATTTACCAAAAAATTTTGCCTTGATACTAGCAGTCTTGTTTCACTTTGGAACTCATTAATCCGCCTCTGAGAAAGCAGCATATCGCGCGTTAGTTATCCCTAAGTGGCTAAATTTCTCAAGATTTTTTTCTATATGAGCTCCGAATAAAGATATATTGCAGATGGTACAAAGTCGGATCATCAACTAAAAGAACAATTATTTCAATGATAGGAAAACCGCGAAACATTGAATCGACCAAAATTCAAAATAGAAAGTCAAAAAAAAAATTGCAATTAACGATAATAGAGGGGGCATGGAAGCGATAAAAACTCCGGGCGATTAGCATGTGTGCATATTAGCATGCAATAATTGCTTTAATTGAATGGGCTGTCAGACAAAAAACAAATTAGACTAAAGTTTTAAATAATTTCGAAAACCATTTACTTTGTTATGTCTGCTGAAAATTCATTTTCGCCTGATTCAAAATTCGGCTAAATGCTCTCTGTTCAAAATTGCAAATATTGTGAACTAGCGAATCTTCAAATTACATTCTTTTACATGGGCATGCTAATGCACACACATGCTGATAGGCCGGTCCCCAAAAATCCCTTCAAGCCGATGATTGAGTATTTTCTAATTTACGGCCCAAAACGATCAAAATGTTAGTTGAGCTTCTGTTTTTATTGAAAACGAGATTTCATTTAATTGATAGTTGCTTCAATCAATCAGATTCGAGAATAATGGTTAAGTTTTATTAATAGGAAGAGATCAGTTTTTGGGCCATAAAACAGAAAAGACCCCGCTGATTGTTCTAAGAATTAGCATTTTTGTTATTTGTTCAGGACGAGGTCTCTGAGGACACCGCAGAACATGTTGCTGTTGAACCTGGCGGTGATCGACCTCATCATGGTCCTCTCCTGTCAGCCAGTGGCACTCGTGTCCAGCATCACACGCGGCTGGTACTTCGGAACCATAGGTATTCCGTTCCGTTTTGTGACAAAATTTACTTAAATTAATCTTTTTTTAAAAAAATCAATCGTGGTGCAAGTCATTGGAAAAATCTTAAAAAATTGGGTTAAAAAGGGGCGGATCAAGGATTTTCTCGAGGGGGCGGATTTTCAAAAAAAAATCAAAATTTGTAAACGGACTTTTTTTAGATCGACTAAATTGATTTTCCGAGCTTTCCTAAAGCACTAAAAAGACGCTGTTTCGGCCAAATCGTTTTTGGGCAGTTTTTGGAAAATTTGTACTCCCCCCTCAAAATTTGTATTTATTGGCGCCTTTAGAAAAATTTTAGGGTCAGTTGGCCAAAAATAGATTTCTTAAAAAATACCAAAGGGGAACCCTTTGGGTCGGCAGGGGATCGAATTCCTGAGGGAAGGGGAAGGCGTCCCCCCAAATCGGCCCCTGTTAAAAAAAATTATTATAATATTTACGGATGTTTTTTTGTTTTTTATATTATGGTCACAAGGACAAGCGCGGATACAGGAAGTTCTCGAGTTAGGGGTTTTTTTGACGAAATTGATTTTATGAGCTATCCCAAAGACTATTAAGACAGGGGCAAACAGAAAAAAAAACGAGCAAAAAAAATGTTTTGAGGCAATCTTTGAAAATTTTTCATTACACAAATGCGTTTTTTGGCGCTCTCTGTCCGCTCAAAATTAATGGAATTTAATGCCTCAGGCGCTTTTTATAAATACTATGATCGGTCAGCCAAAAATGATTGTCGTATGACACTACCGAAGGTGTGACAAGCTGACCAAGGGGACAAATCCACTGACTGCGTTGTTTTGAGTTTATGACAAGAATAGTCGCACAAAGTTTTGATTAAATTGATTTTTAAAAAATCAAAAGAAAATTCTAAACTGAAATTAAGTCGAAATTTTTAATATGATTTTAATATGATTGTCTAAATTTTCTTTTTTCTTTTTCTTGAAATGAGGTTAAAAAAATCAGGATTTTGCTTTCATCGATTGAATAAGGTAAAAAAAATCAGAATGAGCGATAATTTATTTCTGAAAAAAGTTTTAAAAAAATAGCGTTTAAATTCTATTAGAAGAAAATTTGGCAAATCAACTTCACAGAAAGTTTTGTCTGATTCAGTCTTTATATCGAAAATATTCAAAACAGTTTTTCTGGTTACACAGGGATAATTTTTTAAAAATTTTTAGGAATTCAAATCACAACCAAAAGGGCCTTAAGATGATGATTATATACACATGATAGACCTCATACAAACTTTTTTGAGGCACTCAATTTTGGCTAGAAAATACACTAAGATTTGGATTATAATCCATAGATCATTTTAATTATCCGAGAAAGGCTGGAACAAAAATGTATATTGAAAAAGTAAGGACTGATCTTCTCATGTATCTGATCTAAAAAACCCCAAATCTAACAAAAAATGTTGCCCAAATTGTTGCCTATTAAGATGGAAAAAACAAATCAGTTTTTTTTCTATCATAATAGATTTAAAATGTTCATGGGTGTCGTAGCTTTGAGCAGAAAACAATAACAAACAGAAAAACAAGAAGTTTTTTTTTAAAATTCTGATTAAAAAGCTTTTTCTACGGTTCTATTTATTGAAAACTTGCATGTCATAAGTTTTCACTGAAAAAATGATCGTAAAAAAATTCCGTTTGTCAAAAATACTACCAGTGCTGTGAAGCTCGTCGCCCCTGAAGTTTCGAAGGTTTTTCCGTGTCTTTTTGCTTTCGCTCATTTTTTTTGAAATCAAACACTATCTTCGAAGGCATTTCAAAATAAATATAAATCCTCAAAAAGGCAATTTAGTTTGGAATGAGCACAATAACAAGTTGATTTGAAACAATTTCAGAAAAAAAATTAGAAAAACAGTTTCAGTCAAAAAATAACAACGTTCAATTTTCAGACAGACTTGACTCGTGTCAATTACACTACTGCTTTGCTGCTCTCAATTAAGGAAGATTCAATTTACGAATTTTTATGAAAACTTGAAAAACATCGTGTTTTTTGCTAATTTTGTATATATATTATGCGCTTAAATAATATCATCATCAATTCGATCAAGTAATATCTAATCGAATAGGAAAAGGAAATTCAAAAAAATCACAACACTTATTATGATTTTTTTTGGGTTTGTTTTTGTCCGAGTAGATTTTACTTGACCGCATTGCTGTTTATAATTATAAGTGCACAAGTGGTCGCAATATAAGTTCGAAAATTTGCAAGAAATTAAAAACCTTTTTTGCAAGTTTTCCTGCGAAATAAATGAAATTGAAAATTTTTCAAGTAGGAGGAACAAAACAATAGTGTAAGGGATAAAAAGACGGATCTGCATTTATACCATGAACCTAAAAAGGACAGCCGTATTTGTGTAAGTAGCACAGAATGTTCTGATCAGTCTTAATAAATTCAACTTTTTTTCAAGTTCGTGTCGTTTTTTCGACGTGGTGTGATTAAAAGATCTGAACAAAAAAGTAGAGCTTAGGCATTCAGGACAGTCATATAAAATACGCAAGCTGGAAAACAATTTTTGACAAAAAAGAAGAAAAACAAAATAATCGGAAACATTTTCAAAACTTTTTAAATCTTTTCAAATTTTTGAAATTTTTGATCACTAAGATGACGCTAAAAACTCCGAAAACTAGATTCAATTTTTTAAGGCTTAAATTAAGAAAAAGCTAATCTTAGCCTGATCACTCGCTCGAAATTAGACGAAAAATCAAAAATTCAAACCGGTTTTTCTCGACACTGGAAAAACATTTTCGAAATTTCTTAAAGTCGTTCGAATCACGGCTGAAATATGGTATATCACTCAGTTCTATCCGATGAATGTTTGTGGTAGCTGATTTTGCGTGGAAAATAAAAGAAAAATTAAAAAAATTAAAAAACTTAAAACACCCGAATACAAAGTTCCTATATGGTTGGATTAATAATAAGCAAAACAAGTTAAATGGCGGAATTTTGGCGGAAAATGGGAGGAATTAAGCGGCAAACAAAAAAATTGTTCCATAAACTGCTTAATTCTAAAGTGAGCAAAATGAGGTGGTTGTCCCCTTCCCACGTACACACCTCCATATCTCGCAAGCATCAATTTAATGATGTAACGAGTGATTTTACAATGTTAACTATCTGGACGCCAATATTTTTGTCATGGCTTAATTGGTCTGCTATTTTCATAACAATTGGACACGTTAACAAACATTTTTTTTGTAAAATTTTGCAGGTGGGGTCGGGGAGGGAAAAAGAGTAATGATGCTAACAATCGATTTTATGAACATCAAATTTTCGACTGATAATTTTCTACTAATTGGGCGCCTAGCGATTGTTTGATTTAACAAGCTTCTCTTTTGTTTGTTTTTATACTGTTATAATGTCCGCCATAATTTTTATACTGTCATAATTTCCGATTAAGTTCAGTACTTCTAGAGCAAAAAGTTATTACCAGCTATTCTTGTGATGTTTTCAATCGTGTTAAAGTCCGCAACCACCTGAAGTTTTTTTGCTACCGCCTGAAGCGAACTGATTGAATTCGTGATAAAGATGAAAGCATGGTTTTTAGTAAAAGTTTTCAACCAATAAGAGCCGAGTATTTTACTTGCATTTAGTATTTTTGTCGAAACTGAATGGGGCAAAGGATGTTATTTTGTATTTGTAGGTTTGTAGGGCGTGGGGGAGGGAGGGTTTGATTCAATTAACTTGATCCAACGTGTATTTTATCTATTATTTTGCCACCCCTTTAAACACTTAATTCAACGTTAAGCATAAGTGAATTTTGTACCTAGTAACGAATCTCCCCCCTGCAAGGGGTGTAGTTGTGTAGCTTGCAAAATTGAGCGGGGGGAGGTGGGACATTTAAAAAGGTCCTTTTGTTGTTTCAGGATGCACCATATCAGGATGTTTCGCCACTTTCGGTGGCCTTGGATCCATTTGTTCTATGGCCATTATAGCCTATGACCGCTACGTCATGGTCTGTTTCCCACTAGACGTGCGTCGCATTGCCACCAAGCGACGCTCCATTCGCATGATCGTGTTCGTCTGGCTGTATGCTTCTATGTTTGCAGTTCTACCACTGTTCGGCTACGGGGGCTTCGCTTTGAACGGTAGGAAACTGCTACTCGACTAAAACTAACAGTGGTACTTTTTTTTCTTGAAAAACCACTTCACTCAAGTTAATTGAGTTTCGGAACATATAGGATATAGGGCTTTGGAGCATCAAGTCGGAAAATACGAGCCGTTTTCAATAAAAAAAATCATTCAAGAACTCAATAATTGAGCATTTTTGATCGAAGACGGCTCGTATGTTCCGACTTGATGCTCCAAAGCCCTGAAATCTTGAATGCTATTTTTAAAACGAAAAAATGGTTTTGGTGAAAAATTGGGGAAAAAAATTCAAATCAAATAAGGACAGCCGGTTACTGTGCAAGTAGCACAGAATTTTCCGACCATCGTCTTAAAATACAACATTTTTTTTCAAGTTAGGATCGTTTTTTGCCGTGGTGTGATAAAAACGGTCATAACGAAAAACTCTGGTATTTTCGACAGTTTTAGTAAATACGCAAATTGGAAAACAATTTTTGTAGAAAAATGGCCAGGAAAAAAATCAACAAAAAATTTTCAAAAATTTTTCATTTTTTTGCAGTTTTTTTTTGAATTTTTGAAGTCTTTGATTCCAATAAAGCGCTATAGTACTGAAAAAAATTTTCTTGATTAAATATAAGTTGTTACGGCTTAATTTCAGCGATTGCAAGCTTACTTATTCGCTCGAATTAGGACGAAAAATCAAAAGTTTCGAACCGGTTCTTCTCGTCACAGAAAATTTTTTTGAAAATTTAAAGATCGTTCGAATCACGACTGAAAGGGCTTATATCAATATGATATATCACTCAGCGCAGACAGATGATTGTTTGTGGTACCTGTTTTTGCGTGGAAAATAAAAAGATAAAGCGAAAAAAGCTAGAACACAATTGAGTACAAAGTTCCACCCCATTTTCAATGGTCGGAACAATAATATTGAACGTGTTCTCAACCTAAAATGTCAATGCCTAATTGATGCAATTTGCACCAAGTTCTTTATGTGTTTAAGTTAGCTTGCCTCAATTTGATCTGGCTTTATAGAATGAGAGCAGAAAGTAAACAAACTAACGAACAGCATGGATATAAGCTGAAAGTTTTCTCCAATTCTGTTTCAAATGCAGTTTTTCCCGAAAATTTGTCTGCAGCTTTGATCTCATTACGATATATCAAATGCGAACTCACTTTGATTAGTTGTTCCGACTTCAAAAGAAAACAGAATATTTTTGCTTGGGCAGGTTTATTTTAGTCAGTCAATTTTCACTTTTTATTTAAGCAATTTTGACGGAAATTTTGATATTATCTGTAAGATACTGTTACCCGGAGCTCAAATGAAAAAAAAACTTTTCAAAAATTACGGGGGTTGAAAAGTTGCTAATTTGGCTAACTTGGGATAATTAAAGCGCGATTATATTGAATTCCTTTAATACGCGTGAGCTGTGGATTAATACGTTCCAAATTAAATTGAATCAAACCATTTGGTCTTATTATTAATACAGATGCCTAATAAATCTCTCCCCGGGTTGACCTACATAGACAAAAAATCGCTGATCAAACAATGTCATTAACTATATCTAAGAAAGAAATGGAAAATAAGAACTAAAAAATGCTATTCATTCAAATCTGATACCTTTTTGCTATAATCGTGATCGTGTAATCGAAATTCAAAATTTTTTTTCTCATGGCGTAAAATTTTTAATATTGTCATGAAATTTTTTTTTTGGCAAAGATGCTACCTATACTAATTCCATATAATAAAATTGTTTGACATACAGTTTTTTTGATGACGACTACAAAATTCAACGAAGTGAAACAAACATTTTCCGAAATTTTTTTTTTGCAAAGTTTAAATTTTTGTGTGCATAACTTAATCTCAGAATAAATTTTTTCAAAAAATGCTCAAAACTTTATTATGCATGGCATGTTTGTGTATGCCTTGATCAACGCCTGATTAGATTAAATATCAAACATGGTCATTCTTAAAACTCGTTGCCAAAAATAAAAGTTTGATATTTTCATTATACTGTTTGTGTAAGACATTTATATTCAAGTCGCGTCTAAGGCATTGTACATGCCAGACTGCCAAAGCATTGGTGACTCTTGTTTTGAATTATTCGGGGTCGTTTTCATTTGTGTCGTGTTGCGAACGCAACCAAAAAAATTTTGAGAAAAAATTGGCATATGGAAAAATGCTTTTCATAGAATGTTCATATATGAAAAATCATTTACTATAGAACTTTCATGCATTTTTCTGTACTTATGGAAGATCCTGAAAAGTGTTTGATTAGCATTTTCATAAATGAATGTTGTATGACTAATATTTTTGGTCAGCCCGGGTTGTCGTTCCCATCAGCATGAGAAGAAAAAAAGTTTCACAAACAAAAATTAGTACAAAAAGACCAGACTTTCGGCCTAAAAAGATTTTTTGGTTGAAAACTGAAGTAATGATTGTAAAAAAAATCATAAATACATTTTTTTTCAGTATTATCTTCAGTTTCTCCCCCACATGCTAAAATAGATAAAAATTCAAAAATAAAGCAAGTCATGAGCGTGTCTTAAGGTTAAGGCTGAAAATTTGCAATAAATCTATACGGAATTGTTTAATCAGCCGCTAGCCAGCTTATAAGAACGCAATGTATCGCGCGCTAATTATCCCAAATTGGCTAAATTAAAAACTTATAAACATCCAAATTTGTACAAAACTAATCTTAGGCAAATATTTTCTTCTTAGTAGCTCCTGACAACATAGTTTTTCAGGTGGTGTAAGAAACTTCTGTCATAAAGTTTTGCTAAAAAATCGAAAATTGATTGAAAAAAAAACACCCAAAAGCATAAAGTCGGAAACTTGAAAAAAAAAATTAGCCTCTGGGGATTATACAACATTTTCTCATATTGATGTTATTATTAAAACGGACAAGGAGTGCGGGAAAAAATTGGTTTATTGATGCAGAATTATCTTCGAAATTCGGAAAATTTAAAAATAATTATCTTCTCGGGATTATGCAGAATTATCTCACATTAATGTTAGTCTCACAGCTAGACATCCAGTGAAAGCAAACATTGGTATGTTTTCTAAATTGAATCCATGTTATCTTGGAAAAAAAAGCAAATTTGTGGAAGAGTGCCGCCTTGTTTTTCACCCGATTTTGTTCCAAAATTTCGTCTATGTATATAAACAAGACTGCACTGTCAAGGCTACGCCTTGAATGTTCCGACTGCATCCTGGAGTCTATGGAATAGTGTTTGTTTTAAATAACGGATCAAAATAAAACAATTTCGAAATATTATATTTTGTGTTTTTTCAAAATCATCTCCTCACATGCTGTGTAAAGCTCATAGTGATATATTTTCCATTGAGCAAAGTTTTGAATAGACAAAGTAGCAAGCCTTTTGTCCATTTGGAACGATTCTAAAGATGATTAAATCTCCGCTTACGCGTTATTAGTACGAAATAAATGGCGCCTAAATTATTCCAAATTTGCCGACTTCAAACCCCTATAACTTTACAAAAAAAGATCATAAGTGAAATATTTTTTATTTTTGAGATCGGGGCAAAACTAATTTTTGGACGATGAAAGAATCCCGTCAAAAATGGCCAGTTAAAAGTCGAAGTTTGTCTGGAGAAAAAACCACCCTGAGCAAATATTCTGTTAGTTTCTTCGAAAGTTGGAACAAAAAACACGGTTTGTCGGATGGAAAATAAAAACAGCCCATGTTATTTTGCTAAATAACAAATACAGGTTCAAATAATAATTTTTGTTGTCAAGCAGAGGAGAAAAATATCACAATTACATTCAAGTTGGGCATTTCCAGCTCAAGAAGTTTTTGCGAAGTCACAATTAAAAATAAATTGATTCAAATCAACTTTTAATTAGTCACTTTTTTGCTACTTCAAATAGACTGTTTTGATTCGTAGGATGAGTTTATAAAAAAAACGTTTGGTTTAAACATATAATTCAATTAAAACCAAGCTATCATCCTATAGTTTACCTGTTTACCAAGTTCAATCTAGCGTCCAGGGTTCTTTTTTAAATTCTAAGGGCGTTTTTACCAAATGTAAAAAAGCGTATGACACAAGAGCTAAAAACAGCATGTTTTCGAAAAGTTCAGAAGAATTACTTCTTCAATGACTGCCATGGCCTGATAGTTATTCCCATTCATTTGCTGGCTATTTGCAGCCATTTCAAAAATTGTTCTTCCTGAAATAAGCCAAGAACAACAATGTCAAAAAAATTGTTGTTAAGCAATGCCGAAAATGAGCATTCACCTGAAGTTTTTGAAATCGGACAATTTTTGAATAAATTGGAGTAAACTATTGGTTGATTTACGATGCCGAATTATAAAAAAGCTTCATCTGACTTTATCGTAATATTTTTAAGTTCAAGTGCAAGGAGTGTAATTCGGATATAATCCGAATTGGCAGATAAGAACAGTTCAGGAAATTTTGAGTGGGTAGTTTCACCTGCAAAATTTTACAAGTAGAAATTTCGAATGAATGATCTGATTGTTTAAAAAGTTTGTTAAAAAATACTTATCTTATTACTCTTCATTTTTAACCTTGTAAAATCACTCGATAACCACTCGAAACTTGTGGTGGCAAGAAGGAAAAGAGACCCCCGAGATTAAAAAAATTGAGAATAAGTAAAGTAAAAAACAAAACAAGAGTTTTTAAATACAATTCAATTTTTGTAGAAAACATTACAGCTATTTTTAATTACAATTTAATTTTTTTTTGTCACAAGAGTCTTATCATTCAGTGGGACTTAATACGAAATGCCAGGTCAAAAATTTGAAGTAAAAACCTCTCATTTTGAGCTAAAGCAACAATATTTTTCAAGTAATTTACCAGTTAAGTCAAAGTCTATAATTTCGATTACGGAAACTTTTATAGGGATAAAAACCGAAGCTAGTTATGCAGTTTGGAATTTTTTTAGCACAATTATTTTCCGACTTTCGAATGAAGTGCGGAATATTTATGCTGGAGTATTTTTTATTCAGTCAATTTTCGAATTCTTAACTACCCGGATTG